CGCTCCACATCACTTGTATTGCAACGCAACCAACCTGACTTGATATAAAATTGAAAATTACTCCAAACAAGTTTGTTATATAGAGCGTAAACCCAAATAAGCCACTTATTTTATAGCTCATTATCTTAAAATCTAATCTATATTCACTTATTTATAACTCGTTATCTTAAAATCTAATCTATATTCACGGACAGAAAAAATTGTATATTTTTGTTTAAAATTTATTGTTACAATTTATAATCATAACAAATATGAAGATATTGCTTATTTTGGAATATTTAAGATGTTCGTATCGTAATTACGACCGCAATACAAAAGTTCTTGCTGTAAATGGAACGTATTTGAAAATTGTGTGGAGCTGTCGAACTATTTAATTTCCTTAGTAGCAAGAAATCATGTATTTTAGATGTATCAACTATATGCATGGTTGACGACGGGTGGTCGTATTAAACAATTTGTTCTGAGGAAAAGCAGATTACACAAAGTTCAGGTGCTCTATGAACTCTCAGCTTGGGTGACTTGACCTGAGAGTGGATAGGAATCAAAGGTAAGTCAAAAAGTGCAGACTCCTGCAATTATTTTACCTTTATATTTCAGAGCAAGTCAAGCTAATGCAAGACAGACTTTCCAGTATAGGAGCTGCGCTAGAAACCATCAACGGAAGGTTAGGGATTTTGCTGACAGAGCAGAATGGACTTCAAGCATTAATAACCAATGGTTTCCAAATGATGAACAAAACCTTAGCTGAAATAAAAAAATGTCTTAATTGCACACAATGTGAGTCCATAAAATATTTATTTATGTATTTCACTACTTATATTATATTTATTTTTAATTATCTATTTATATATTTTATGTATTTGCATATTGTTGCATGTATGTATTTATGCTTTATATATTTATTTATGTATTTAAGCATTTATATATTTATTTATATATTTATGTATTTATTTAATTCGTCCATTTATGTAAGTGTTGATTCGTGTATTTATCTATTTATTTTAGTGAAATGTCCCGACGGCTATCTAAACGAAACGAAGTTTGGACCATTTTGCTATAGATTGGAATCAAACCGATGCAAATCCTGGTCACGTGCCAGACAAACCTGTCAAAACGAAGGAGGAGACCTCGTGATCCCTGACGTGAATACGTATCAGTTCTTCCGAAATCTAGCTAAAAATAGCAAAGGTACGTAACTTAGTATGAATAGTTTTCACTGCTAATATTTATTTCCCCAGAACAATTTGTCCTCATTCTTTTTCTTGTAATGTTTCGTATTGCATTGCCTTTAATATTTTGATGGGATAAACTTTATCTACTTAATGTATATGCATCATATTTTAGGCCAGGCAATCGAACCAACAATAAAAAAAATATATGCAGTGGATACAAGGTTTACATAAATGCATCTATATACATACGCTGACATAAGTGATATATTAAATAAATACATCTATATGCAGACAGAAGTGACGTAGTACATAATATCTATATGCAGACGCTGACAGAAGTGATATCTGATAAAAAACCATCTATATGCAAACGCCGACAGAAGTGATATTTTGCATATAAACATATATATGCAGACGCCGACAGAAGTGATATCTTAGATATAAGCATCTATATGCAGACGCCGACAAAAGTGATCTTACATATAAACATCTATATGCAGACGCCGACAGAAGCGATATCTTAATATAAGCATCTAAATGCAGACGCCAATAGAAGTGATCTTACATATAAACATGTATATATAGACATGAACTGAATTATATTAAATCAAATGATATTTAAATATTAAATGATGATGTTTCTCTGAATGACACACTGAGAAAATGTGTCGAAATGCGCAAACTTATATAAGTAACACAAGCTGCTAATGACAGTTGGTTAGATATGTCTAAATATTCGTATTTATATCATTAGCATAAACTTTAAAAGACATGGTGGGCAAATTAGCAGAAATTTGAATACTTACATAATTAACAAAAGACTTAAAAGGAAAAAGTGATCAGATGCATATAGCAATATATATTAAAATTACTAATATCCCATCTCTTTCATATAATTTATCATTGATCTAATGTTTGGGGAGTTTTGCTCTGTTTTCAAAGCAAAATAGCTTAATAATTTTTGCCTTAGTCTTGTGCCGACTGTTGATAAAGGTTTCTTGAAATGAATAATTTCAAGATGGCGGTCAGTAAGTTTATGTTAGTTAGCATTTGCATGTATAGACAAGACTGTATACTAATGACTACAAGGTGCAAATCAAGTTTGCATTTAAAGGCATGATAGTATGATAGTACGTGGTGCAAATGAAAGGCTCGATATGATAATGAATATATTCTGCAAGTTAAATGATAGACTAATTGTAAAGGCACAATTGTATAATAATATGTGGTGTAAGTTAAATAGTAGGAGTAAAGGATTGATAAGATAATAATGATTGCATTGTGCAAATTAAATTGGACGTTTAAAAGCACTATAGTGTAATACTGACTATAGGTTGCAAATGAGATGGTACTTTTAAAGGCACGATATGATAATAAGTATATTGTGCAAATTAGATGGTACGTTTAAAGGCACGATAGTGGTTGTTGTTGTTGTTGTTGTAGGGTTTAACACCATTTTCAGCACAGAATAGGCTAGACACGGCTGCCAATATAACTGGTGGAGGAAGAACCTTCGAAAACCCCGTGAAGATCCACCGACCCAAGAGATGGTACTGGCAGGCGTTCACGCGTACTAACGTTAACCGAGCCTGAGAATCGAAGCCACGCAGAGAGGGTGTGATGGCAGTGAATCGTAACGGTGATCGTTTTAAACCACTCGGCCACTAGTGCCCCAAAAACACTATAGTATAATGGTGCAAATAAATGGTTGGTGCAAGAAAAATTACGTTTTGGAAACCAGACTTCCAAAAATGAACATTAAATATACAGTATTATTACAAGAGACATATATATGGGTCTAATGCACGACTTCTACGCATCATGGACCATAACTATCAACACTATGGTGATAATGAGGTATACCCCTAGTAGTGACAATTGTATTCTTAGTGCAGCTACTGCAACTTACCATTAGTATTTCTTTTGTTAAAATAATTTTCATTGATACTACTTCTGCCACTCCTGATGTCACTGCTGCGATCATCACTGCTTTAAACATTACTACTCATATTGATGTTTATTATTATTATTATTATTATTATTATTATTATTATTATTATTATTATTATTATTATTATTATGTAACTACATTTATCACTTTTACAATAATAACCCTCAATAGCTAAAGATATTCTAATACTACTATTGGGGACCCGTGTTGCCGAGTGGTCTAAATCGCACGCTTCTAGCGATTACTTTAAACTTTTATCTCAGCTCTGTGCGCGTGGGTTTGAGTCTTGGGATCGGCCAGTGTGTGTGTGTGTGTGTGTGTGTGTGTGTGTGTGTGTGTGTGTGTGTGTGTGTGTGTATGGGCCAGTGTGTTTAATAGACGGTGGTTTGTACCGTGGTTTTCCCGGTTCTTCCTCCACAAGTTAAGCTGGCCGCCATTATACCCTCTCTAGCGCTGAAAACTGGCGTTAAACGTAAACCTGCTATTGCAACCACACAACCACTTACTAAACCTGCCACTACCGCTCGAAATACCACACCCAAAGAACAGTTGGAAACAATACCATAACAGATGAATAATAATCGTAAACGTTTACGTGGAAATCGAGTACTTGAAAAAGAGTTAATCAATATCATACTATTGGGACTGGTTCCTAACGTTTCCTCGTCTTTTCAGGACAGTGCCAACATTTCTGGATTGGAGGTTATACCAGCACACCTGGATCTAATTACGTCACAGTGAGTGGTGTTTCCATTCCAATCACTTTTCCCTTCTGGTCAGTTGGCCAGCCTGACGGTCTAGGAGGAGAGAATTGCTTGGAGATGAGGAGTTACTTTACTAACTACCTGATGAATGACTACCACTGCAACGTGCCACATGGCTTTATTTGTCAGAAATTACCATAAGCAACTTTTGCCAATTTAAAATTTCATAAGAATAAAGTCAGCTAAGAGAAAATTCTAACCTTTTTTTTGATAAATAGTTTATTTACGTTCGCACCAGACCCAATTCTTATTGCCCCAGTACAGAAAATCCGATATCAATACAGCATGGAAATTGTTTGTTTGGAATTGTCACGGCATTGTGATTCAATATAACATATTCGCCTACTATCAAACAATTTAGTCGCTGTTAAATATTCTTAAACGTTCTTTTTTTTTTGGGGGGGGGGAATTCAGTCAGCCGTATGAATATATGTGTAACTTACATATACACACAGGTAAAGGGGTGCTAAATGGGTGTATCTGCAAGTTCCATTGCATATCATAATTGATAGATGCAAGAGACGTATTCTGTCAAATTACAGACTGATTATGCAACGTAATAGTATTGCAACATTATATCGAGTATCATAAAACAGTTATTTAGTAGATCAAGAAACTTCTTGCTAAAATTGGATTTATCATCATCATCTAGAGAAATGTTTCTGTCTGTCTGTCTCTGTCTCTCATCTGCATACTACTTTTAACATGCGTACATATGCACAGACTCGCGTAAGTTATTTAGCCCATGCTATTATCTGGTTAGCCATGCATGGCTGTACAGCTAGCCGGTGGCATGATGGTGTCAATATGATTTTAACATGAAGATCCGAATTTTAGGCTTTGTGTGTGTGTGTGTGTGTGTGTGTGTGTGTGTGTGTGTGTGCTAGAATTTTTAACGTAGCCTTGACAATTTTCCGTCATATCTATACGATTTTTTCAGTGTAGCAGTTTATATAGTGATGTCTAGCCTGGGACATCATGCCGCAGACATTAAGCACGATGTCCCACCCAGTCACATTATCTTGACGCCAGGCTAACCCTTCCTTACAATAACCGATTAATGATGAGCGTTTAGCGAAGAAGTGTTAGTACCTTTTTATGAGTATTTGATACAACTCAGCCGGGGTTCTAACCCATGTCCTTCCGCATTCGAGGCGGACGCTCTAACCACAAGGCCACCTGAGCAGTTTCATCACTGGTATAGTTTCATCATCTATAGTATTTAAGTAGCGGTTTGTTGGGGTAAAACTAATGACTTTATCATGAAACCACCCTTGAAGTTATCATGAGGCACTCTTTTACACACATGCTGAAAATCTTTAATGGGGATAAATAACAATGAAGGCTTTATCTAGCTAAGTACCAATAACCTACAAAGATTCGAAAGCCAAAGTAACCTCACTAGCAAGTAATATAGATATAGATAATAAATACCGATACAGAAGAATAATACCAATACGGAAGAATACCAATCCACGCCATTATATCAATGTACTGTTGCACCTCCAATGTTCATTTATACAAAGCTTCCTGGATTGCTTCTGATCTATAGCAGCAATCCCTCTTATTAACCTTGCCATCGAGGGGTAATCTCAAAATACTAAAACCATTGTGACATAGCCCCTCAATTATATCCTAAAGCTTAACAATATAGGGGAAGCACTATATGACTCGTTTATGAAAAGGTGACCTTACGTGACTACCTAATCCTACGATGGTTATGATCTCAATGTCTGAATAATATTATGACCATTGTAACAGTGAGGATTTTAGTATAAAAAAAAATTGGCCAATCTTAACTGTTATGTATAATTATCATCATATTTGCCCATTTCATGTCGCAAAACAAATAAAATGTATCAATGACGACCTATATTTAAACTGCTTGCAATAGTGTCTTGATTTTCATTTCGTGTTTGAACCAAATTGTTTATTTGTATGATGCAATGTTATACCTGTTCTTTACCTGTTTTGGGCCATTTCTTACATTATACTAAGCTCCTTTTGACCCAGACATATCCTTTTTTGTTGCAAAATGTCTTTTTATTTTCAATGAACAAAAACTCGCTTTTTAGCTCAATCTAATGTTTTAAATTTTATTATAATAATAAATGGTATTATACCGTGATGTTGACACTTCATAGCCCCTCCCAGCAAGGCATGTTGACATTTCATAGCCCCTCCCGCATGGCATGTTGACACTTCATAGCCCTTCCCAGCATGGCATGTTGACACTTCATAGCCCCTCCAAGCATGGCATGTTGACACTTCATAGCCCCTCCCAGCATGGCATGTTGACACATCATAGACCCTCCTAGCATGGCATGCTGGTTAAGATTTAGAAGTTACACCCGAAATAGTTACATCTCTCATATAAGTGTTTTTTTGTTTAAAAAAGAAAGTTAGGCTTAAATTTTGAAATAAAATTGTCAGGTTTGCTCTGTGTTTTGTTCTGTCATATTTTTAGTTAATTTTTCCGATAAATTCTCTAGCTGGATAAGTACACCCTTCTATGTGTCGGGCTAAAGTTGGCGTGTTTCCTGTATTCCGGCCTTTGCTTGTACTTCCCTCTCTTGTGGTACATGACCATAGAGCTGATATCCTCGCCCTATCACTATCCGTTTTGTATATTATTTTTAAGCGGACCTTGTCAAAGTCATTGTTTTTTTGTGGTGGTGTTATGCATTTAATGGTTGTATTTGCATTGTTTAGATGTTACGGCTGGCACCATTTAAGTTATTTCATTTAAGTTGTGATTGATATCTTTTTCCAATTATTAAACGGTTTTTGGAATATATCTATTATTGAAGCCGAAATGTGGTATAAATAAAACAGAAAATAACGTTTCTAAGTGTTTTTGTTTATGCTTGAGTGTATGCCGTTTTATTAGTCTTAGTGTTTGTGTACCAGAGCGCACGATTACTAATATTTCCAGTTAATTGTTTTTGGTTGTTGTAATTTTGATGACGTTGGGGACTGAAATTTGTTCAAGCACGGTCATGATTAAAAAGATGCCCAAGGACATAAAAATGTAGGCTTCTGAGTTAGTGTAAATAAATTATGGAATTGAAAATTTTCTTGGCAGGGACGTGATTGAAAACATGTTAGATCATATGGGTGCTTGTTCTAAGAAATACGTGAGAGTGATTTCTTTTTCGTTAACAAATTGATGATCCGTGAAAGTCTTTCTATCATCAGCACATATTTTAATTTTTCTGGTGATCTTAGATTTTCTATCCCCATATGGGTTTGCTGAAGATTCTGAATCTCGAGGACTCATGAAGATGTAGATCTGTTACGACCATGTGAATAAAATGCTCTCTATAGGAGCTACGGTTACATATTGTAATCCGTGAGGAATATGAAGAAGCACGAGTAGAAGAGAAAGCTCAGATTTTTATATTTGTGTGTATTTATTAATTATATTGGCTGTTATATTTTTTTAGGGAGAATGATGTTAGTCAGTTTCCAAAAATTCCAGAAGTATTTGGGTTCATCAAAAAAGTGAATTGTAGCCCTTTTCCCCAGTGCTGGGAGCATACCACTTCTTCGCTCCCTGCTAATGCTTTCATTTGTGTCCAAAACAGGAAATAAATAGAAACGTGGGTTTCTTGGGGGCAGAAACAGAATGCGATGAAGGGCCCTTATCAGAGGTAATTTCCCTGCATCGCACCTTCCCTATACTGTATCATAATATTCAATGGTTATGAGAATAGAAAGGGTCGTAAGTCAGACCATGTGATCTTGATATGTTTACAAGCAAAATTCGGCGGTTTGATTTCCAGGAACCAGTTTTTTGTGGGCGTTTCACAATGTTTGTGTTAGGTCTGATTTTTGATGATATAGGGGATCGAAATCTAAGCATAGACGTTAAAGACTCTTGAGATACTGTCTGAATGACTGAGAAGGATTAAAGTCGCCTATGCTAACTAAGAGCTTTTGCAAATCGTTAATGCTCAGTTGCTGAGCTTTTTAATTTGTCGGCATTTCAGAAATGATGCCGCAAAAACACCGCTTTGATATACGATAGTGGTACGTTTTAATAGTATGTCAGGAAGTGAAAAGGAGGAAGGAGACCCGGCGGGGGACGCCAACCGCTGATGCCGTGTACGTTCCAAAGGGCACGGACCGACATGATTGTGTCAAACTCTGTCCAGTTGTGCTGGTGGACGTTCCCTATCCCCAATTTGTGTGGGCCACCTGTGCAATTGATCTAAGTTTATGAGTTGAAGATTGCCTATTTTATCATTGTGTTGTTGGAATTTTGTGCACTAAGCGTACTTAATGGCAAAATTACACCAACCGGCCGGGTGTCAACATCCTTGTGCGTCATGCATTGTTAGTATTAGTTGTTTTGATGGTGGAGAGATTAAGGATCAGGTTAGTTTTTACGGTGGTTTGGCCGAGAGATGGGGGTGGGGGTAAGGGCATTCTTGGAGGAAAATTTGTAGGTAACAGAGGCTTGTTGTTTCCAGGATTCCACCCAGGTGTTGCTAATATATTTTCCATAGCACCTGTGTTAGTCCGCTTGTGTTGGTAAATGTGAAGGTGGTGTGTGATTTTTTTTTAAGTAACTTAATTTTTCAGTGATATCGCTACGATGTATGCAGTGTGACATGTTTATAGTGATATCTGGCACTGGGGCATCATTCTCATTTTTCTGCAATGTGTCCAATAAAATTTAATAAAAACTCCAGTGGGGTGTCATGAAGTGGTTCATTAATTACTTAATATTTTCATATCGTCTGTTTTGAAATTCAAGCACTTTTCAAGAACTAATGAGCATTTTCACGTAATTTCCAGCAACAATTTAGTGCTGACAACAAATATATGCACTCTTCAAAGTAACCACAAAAATTCAAGGACCTTTCTGGGTAAGAACCAAAATTCAAGCACTATTCAAGACATGGCAAACAGAGTGATAGTTCATATCCGATTAAACCAATTGGCCCTAAAATGGATCCTGAATGTTAACGCCCAAAAATGTTTTTAAAAAATTAAGCCTTTGTGAAATAAAAATATATATTTTATACATGTATCGTTGTGGTAAAAATATAATTATTTAATCTCTTACCGTTCAGAAACCTCATAAGTTCAGCTTCAGTTGTTTAATGTAATAATTGTTGTTTTGAATAATACAGGGTAAAGAAGCTTAATTCCATTCTAAAATATCATAATTAGAGACCTAATGTTTACGTATTTTCCATGATACCTCTTTTGAGCTTAGCTAAACTCTCTTCAATCAAGACGATTATCCAAGCATGCTTTCTTTATCACTTTATCACATTTACTGCATCCAATGATCATCCAAGCATGTTTTCTTTATCACTTTATCACATTTACTGCATCCAATGATCATCCAAGCATGTTTTCTTTATCACTTTATCACATTTACTGCATCCATTGATCATCCAAGCATGCTTTCTTTATCACTTTATCACATTTACTGCATCCATTGATCATCCAAGCATGTTTTCTTTATCACATTTACTGCATCCATTGATCATCCAAGCATGCTTTCTTTATCACTTTATCACATTTACTGCATCCATTGATCATCCAAGCATGTTTTCTTTATCACATTTACTGCATCCATTGATCATCCAAGCATGCTTTCTTTATCACTTTATCACATTTACTGCATCCATTGATCATCCAAGCATGTTTTCTTTATCACTTTATCACATTTACTGCATCCATTGATCATCCAAGTATGTTTTCTTTATCACTTTATCACATTTACTGCATCCATTGATCATCCAAGCATGTTTTCTTTATCACTTTATCACATTTACTGCATCCATTGATCATCCAAGCATGTTTTCTTTATCACATTTACTGCATCCATGTTATGACAATTTATTTTTACCAGAAGACTCCTTGCTTCAACTTCACTTATCAGATTTTGGAATATCATCAATATTTTCCACAATATAACCCCTCAAAACAGGATTCTTATGCACTGATGACATATAATATTTATTTTTGGAACATATTGATTTTATACGTAATCCTAAATTGTCTTGTTTATTCTGGTTTCTCACATTTATTCAAATATTTGATAGCTTTCCTCTACATGGTCCAACAAAAGCTCTAATGGCAGAGTCTGGAACCCAGTATCATCATTAATGCTGTAAATAATACATAACTAAAATATTTTCTGTGTGTACAGGTTTATTAACAGT